GTCATGAAATATGTGTCAGCTGATCGGGTTGTGGAAGAAAGCGTCATGAAATGTGTTTCAGTTGATCGGGTTGTGGATGGAAACGTCATGAAATGTGTGTCAGCTGATCGGGTTGTGGATGGAAACGTCATGAAATGTGTTTCAGCTGATCGGGTTGTGGAAGAAAGGGTCATGAAACGTGTGTCAGTTGATCTGGTTGTGGAAGAAAGCGTCATGAAATGTGTTTCAGCTGATCGGGTTGTGGAAGAAAGCGTCATGAAATGTGTTTCAGCTGATCGGGTTGTGGAAGAAAGCGTCATGAAATGTGTGTCAGTTGATCGGGTTTGGGAAGAAAGTGTCATGAAATGTGTGTCAGCTGATCGGGTTGTCAAAGAAAGCGTCATGAAATGTGTTTCAGCTGATCGGGTTGTGGAAAAAAGCGTCATGAAATATGTGTCAGCTGATCGGTTTGTGGAAGAAAGCGTCATGATATGTGTGTCAGTTGATCGGGTTGTGGAAGAAAGTGTCATGAAATGTGTTTCAGCTGATCGGGTTGTGGAAGAAAGTGTCATGAAATGTGTTTCAGCTGATCGGGTTGTGGAAGAAAGTGACATGAAATGTGTTTCAGCTGATCGGGTTGTGGAAGAAAGTGTCATGAAATGTGTGTCAGCTGATCGGGTTGTCAAAGAAAGCGTCATGAAATGTGTTTCAGCTGATCGGGTTGTGGAAAAAAGCGTCGTGAAATATGTGTCAGCTGATCGGTTTGTGGAAGAAAGCGTCATGATATGTGTGTCAGTTGATCGGGTTGTGGAAGAAAGTGTCATGAAATGTGTTTCAGCTGATCGGGTTGTGGAAGAAAGTGTCATGAAATGTGTTTCAGCTGATCGGGTTGTGAAAGAAAGTGACATGAAATGTGTTTCAGCTGATCGGGTTGTGGAAGAAAGTGTCATGAAATGTGTGTCAGCTGATCGGGTTGTCAAAGAAAGCGTCATGAAATGTGTTTCAGCTGATCGGGTTGTGGAAAAAAGCGTCGTGAAATATGTGTCAGCTGATCGGTTTGTGGAAGAAAGTGTCATGAAATGTGTTTCAGCTGATCGGGTTGTGGAAGAAAGCGTCATGAAATGTGTGTCAGCTGATCGGGTTGTGGAAGAAAGGGTCATGAAATGTGTGTCAGCTGATCGGGTTGTGGATAGAAGCGTCATGATATTTGTGTCAGCTGATCGGGTTGTGCAAGGAAACGTCATGAAACGTGTGTCAGCTGATCGGGTTGTGCAAGGAAACGTCATGAAACGTGTGTCAGCTGATCGGGTTGTGGACGAAAGCGTCATGAGGTGTGTGTCAGCTGATAGGGTTTTGTAAGGAAGCGTCATGAGGTGAGTGTCAGCTGGTCGGGTGAAGGAAACGTCATGAGGTGTGTGTCATCTGGTCGGGTTGTGGTGGGAAACGTCATGATGTGTGTATCATCTGGTCGGGTTGTGGAGGGAAACGTCATGATGTTTGTGTCATCTGGTCGGGTTGTGAAAGGAACGTCACGAGGTGTGTGTCATCTGGTCGGGTTATGGTGGGAAACGTCATGAGGTTTGTGTCATCTGGTCGGGTTGTGGAGGGAAACGTCATGAGGTGTGTGTCATCTGGTCGGGTTGTGAAAGGAACGTCATGAGGTGTGTGTCATCTGGTCGGTTTCTGGTGGGAAACGTCATGAGGTGTGTGTAAGCTGGTCGGGTGAATTAAACGTCATGAGGTATGTGTCAGCTGGTCGGGTTATGGTGGGAAACGTATTGAGGTATGTGTCATCTGGTCGGGTTGTTGAGGGAAACGTCATGAGGTGTGTGTCAGGTGGTCGTGTGAAGGAAACGTCACGAGGTATGTGTTGGCTGGTCGGATTGTAGAAGGAACGTCGTGAAGAGTGTGTCAGCTGGTCGGATTGTGGAGGGAAACGTCATGATGTGTGTGTCATCTGGTCTGGTTGTGGAGGGAAACGTCATGAGGTGTGTGTCATCTGGTCGGGTTGTGGAGGGAAACGTCATGAAGTGTGTGTCATCTGCTCGGGTTGTGAAAGGAATGTCATGAAGTGTGTGTCATCTGGTCGGGTTGTGAAAGGAATGTCATGAAGTGTGTGTCATCTGGTCGGGTTGTGAAAGGAACGTCATGAAGTGGGTGTCATCTGGTCGGGTTGTGAAAGGAACGTCATGAAGTGTGTGTCATCTGGTCGGGTAGTGAACATGAAGGAAAACGTCCTGGAGAATATATATGTTTACGTCTGAAAGTTGCCTTTATTAAGTTCAATGTTTCTTCATTAAGTGACCCCCTCCGGCTGAATTCCATGTACTAATTTGTATAAAATTACATTAGGTCTAATTTTAATCATTTGCATTGTAACTTAACAGAAAATATACATGAAATGGCGAATATTGTAACGTGCGAATCTCCTTTCCCTGCTGTCACTACCCCTAGAGTGTAGGTTACACAGGCAACATGCTGTCACTACCCCTAGAGTGCAGGTTACACAGGCAACATACTGTCACTACCCCAAGAGTGTAGGTTACACAGGCATCATACTGTCACTACCCCTAGATTGCAGGTCACACAGGCAACATACTGTCACTACCCCAAGAGTGCAGGTTACACAGGCAACATACTGTCACTACCCCTAGAGTGCAGGTTACACAGGCAACATACTGTCACTACCCCTAGAGTGCAGGTTACACAGGCATCATACTGTCACTACCCCTAGAGTGTAGGTTACACAGGCAACATGCTGTCACTACCCCAAGAGTGTAGGTTACACAGGCAACATGCTGTCACTACCCCAAGAGTGTAGGTTACACAGGCAACATGCTGTCACTACCCCAAGAGTGCAGGTTACACAGGCATCATACTGTCACTACCCCAAGAGTGTAGGTTACACAGGCATCATACTGTCACTACCCCTAGAGTGTAGGTTACACAGGCAACATGCTGTCACTACCCCTAGAGCGTAGGTTACACAGGCAACATACTGTCACTACCCCTAGAGTGTAGGTTACACAGGCAACATACTGGCACTACCCCCAGAGCGTAGGTTACACAGGCAACATACTGTCACTACCCCTAGAGTGTAGGTTACACAGGCAACATGCTGTCACTACCCCAAGAGTGCAGGTTACACAGGCAACATGCTGTCACTACCCCTAGAGTGTAGGTTACACAGGCAACATGCTGTCACTACCCCTAGAGTGCAGGTTACACAGGCATCATACTGTCACTACCCCAAGAGTGTAGGTTACACAGGCAACATACTGTCACTACCCCTAGAGCGTAGGTTACACAGGCAACATACTGTCACTACCCCTAGAGTGTAGGTTATACAGGCAACATACTGTCACTACCCCAAGTGTGCAGGTTACACAGGCATCATACAGTCACTACCCCAAGAGTGTAGGTTACACAGGCAACATACTGGCACTACCCCTAGAGTGTAGGTTACACAGGCAACATGCTGTCACTACCCCAAGAGTGCAGGTTACACAGGCATCATACAGTCACTACCCCAAGAGTGTAGGTTACACAGACATCATACTGTCACTACCCCTAGAGTGTAGGTTACACAGGCAACATACTGTCACTACCCCTGGAGTGTAGGTTACACAGGCATCATACTGTCACTACCCCTAGAGTGAAGGTTACACAGGCAACATACTGTCACTACCCCTAGAGTGTAGGTTACACAGGCAACATACATACTATCATCTGCTTGTAGTAAGGGCTATTTGCGATGCCCATAACACACTTTATTCAAACTGTTTCATGCTGAACAGCTGTAGTCTATGTGAAGCCTCCTGAGTGTACACAGGCAATGGGAACGCTGACTTTGAGCACCCTAAAGTGTCGGATCACCACTTAAAATGGTCATACTGTGTGCATATGTTTGAAATAGCAAAACACAATATTACCTGAGGACATATTTAATGATCAAAAGACGGTTGTCATGTGCCACACAATGCCAACACGTGACCAGTAATCTATCAGATCACCCATCAACATGAGACTATCTGACCAAATCTGAAACGTCCACAATTCACGAAAACAAATTCATTTTTCAAAACACCAACTCGGACGTGTGTGATCCACGCGATGCGATCACAGCCTGGCACGGTCGTCACATGCTCCCAAACAGTGTTTGGCTGGTTGCCAAGGGAAGATGTTCCACTCTTCAGTTAGAGCATTGTCGAGTTCCTGTAGAGTTGCCGGAAGGACATTTTGTGTAGTAACCCTGACCCTAATACCAAATCTGTGTCATCATACCGTGGCATGATTGCCAGAGTTACGTCTCTTGGGAACAATTCTCTGATAAGAACAGTATGGAATCGGGTCATTCACTCACATCGCTAAACAGTATCCGACACAGCTGGTAATGAAGGTTGCGTCTTCGTGTGATCTTATAAGCAGTTACAAATACATGTTTTCTGTGGCAAAACTGCGTCTACATGTGCTTTGGCTTTATACTCTAATGAGAATTCATACATAACTTTGGGAGCACAATTTTTAGGTAAAGTTCTGAAGAAACTAAAAGAATAACACACACCCCAACCCAAAGACACAGAATGAATGGAGGATAAGTGACCACTGAACCACTAGTATTATTAAATCATACCTCCTACAGATAGTTGACCAGTTTAAGGGTGTATTTGGGAACGAGGCAGCGGATGTTGTGGCGCACTGCCACTGGCTGTCGTCGACTCCTAATGCCGGCGTTATGGTGGGATTTTACGTACGCACCAAATCTATCAACATGAGAACTGAAACATTTACGTTCTAGAATTACAAATAAGTCAACTGAGTCAACCGGGATTACCACATGTCTTGTCGCCATTGTTTTTATTATTAAACTGTTTTGTTCAGTTGAAAGTTTTGTCTATGTGGACCGACCATTTGAGATTGTGTAATGAAATATCAAATAGTTCGGCCCTTTTTTAAATGCAAGCTTTGCGGCAGCGATCAAAAGAATATCCTGTCCTTATCAAACAATGCTCATATTATGAATGGACGATGTGGCAGAGATTCAGGTAAACGGGATTTTACTCAGGTGAGGTGGTGAGGTGAAATTGGGTTTAACGTCGCTTCCAACATTGTTGCATTTATATAGCGACGTGCATCTACGTGTGGTGTGTGGCTGTCTGTGCTAGTGCTAAATGATGCCGATTTTATAGTGCTAGCCCACTGAGATATCATGCCGCTTTTTAACCTGAATACCCCACTCAGACACAGTATACTGACTCCGAGCCGACCAGTCCTTGTTTTAGCCCCTTAATGCCGAGCGCCAGACAGGGTATAAACTATATATCTTTTAACGTCTTTTAGTATGACGCGACCGGGCATCGAACCCGAGCTCTCGGGGCGAACGCTCTTCCATTAGACCACGGATGCGGTACATGAGCAAATGTAATTGAGTATGTAATAAGTACTATATAGTGTTATTTTTAACCTTGTAAAAGAGATGATGTTATTTCTCGACAAGAGTCGCAGTATCTCCCACTCAAACTGTCTTTACGAGCCACGAGCCAAATCAACCACAGATAAGGATCATAAACGAAGTTATTTTAAATTTAAATGGGATTATAGAATGGAATAAAGTTTTCTAAATAATCTTTTATCCGATACCTTTTCGTATATGATTGATGTCTACATGGTAAAGACGTTAAAAGATGGAACTTGCTGTTACCCTGTCTGACGCTCGGCATTAAGGGGCTAAAACAAGGATTGGTCGGCTCGGAGTCAGTATACTGTGTCTGAGTGGGATATTCATGTTAAACTGCGGCATGGTATCTCAGTAAGCTAGCACTATGAATCGGCATCAGTCCGGACTAGTACAAGCAGCCACACACACACACACACACACATGCACGCACGTGGCTATATAAGTGCAATAATCTTGGACGCGACGTTAAACCCCATTTCACCTCTCCTCACCTCACCTTGAAACAAGAGGGGAGACAGCATTGAGTTTCTTAGGGTTTATTCAAGCAAGTGTCGAGACATATCATTCAAAAATACATTAATTCATTTATAATAATGACAAACAATGATAATAATGATAATACTATCCTAGATATATAGATAGATAGAAAACAACAATTATATACTCATAGGATGTAACTGGCTAGGTAACGAAACCTAGTACTATATATTTGATTACTTGCACATGATGATGAAATATAAAAAAACGAATGCGTTGTTATATAATATTTAATGGGCGGACTGATGGAAAATATGAAATAACTGACCTACTTATGCAACAAGTATTGCTCGAAGTAGTTGTGTTAACTCCAGGAACCGTTTTGTGACCAAGCCACACGTATGCTACTCCTCCGCATGGAAATCTAGACATACATACATTGTTGAACATAGACATGGAATGGGGACATGGTCGCGGATGTGGAAATATAGAAATGGAATATTGGTTTTATACATTAAAGGATATGAACATATATCACGACGACAATATTTGACATATGGCCATTTGACGACAGCACAACTACAAAACATTTAGACTACAGCACAATGGCAAGACATTAAGACGACAACACAAGGACAAGACATTTGGACGACAGCACAACGGCAAGACATTTTGACATCACAACGACAAGACATTAAGACGACAGCATAACGATAAGACATTGAGACGACAGCACAACGACAAGACATTTGGACGACAGCACAACGACAAGACATTTGGACGACAGCACAACCACAAAACATTTAGACTACGGCACAATAACAAGACAATTGGACGACGGCACAACGACAAGACATTTGGATGACAGCACAACGACAACACATTTGGACGACGGCACAACGACAAGACATTTGGACGACAGCACAACGACAAGACATTTAGACTACAGCACAACGACAAGACATTTAGACGACAGCACAACGACAAGACATTTGGATGACAGCACAACGACAAGACATTAGGACGACAGCACAACGACAAGACATTAGGACGACAGCACAACGACAAGACATTTAGACGACAGCAGGAGCACAAAACATTTAGACTACAGCACAACGACAAGACATTTGGACGACAGCACAACGAAAAGACATTTAGACGACAGCACAACCACAAAACATTTAGACTACAGCACAACGACAAGACATTTGGACGACAGCACAACGAAAAGACATTTAGACGACAGCACAACGACAAAAAAATTAGACTACGGCACAATAACAAGACAATTGGACGACGGCACAACGACAAGACATTTAGACGACAGCACAACCACAAAACATTTAGACTACAGCACAACGATAAGACATTAGGACGACAGCACAACGACAAGACATTAAGACGACAGCACAATGGCAAGACATCGGGACGACAGCACAACGACAAGACATTAGGACGACAGCACGACGACAAGACATTTAGACGACAGCACAACCACAAAACATTTAGACTACAGCACAACGACAAGACATTTGGACGACAGCACAACGAAAAGACATTTAGACGACAGCACAACGACAAGACATTTGGATGACAGCACAACGAAAATACATTTAGACGACAGCACAACCACAAAACATTTAGACTACAGCACAACGACAAGACATTTGGACGACAGCACAACGAAAAGACATTTAGACGACAGCACAACGACAAAAAATTTAGACTACGGCACAATAACAAGACAATTGGACGACGGCACAACGACAAGACATTTAGACGACAGCACAACCACAAAACATTTAGACTACAGCACAACGATAAGACATTAGGACGACAGCACAATGACAAGACATTAAGACGACAGCACAATGGAAAGACATCGGGACGACAGCACAACGACAAGACATTAGGGCGACAGCACGACGACAAGACATTTAGACGACAGCACAACCACAAAACATTTACACTACAGCACAACGATAAGACATTAGGACGACAGCACAACGACAAGACATTAAGACGACAGCACAATGGCAAGACATCGGGACGACAGCACAACGACAAGACATTAGGACGACAGCACAACGACAAGACATTAGGACGACAGCACAACGACAAGACATTCAGACGACAGCACAACGACAAGACATTTGGACGACAGCACAACGACAAGACATTTGGACGACAGCACAACGACAAGACATTAGGACGACAGCACAACGACAAGACATTAGGACGACAGCACAACGACAAGACATTTGGATGACAGCACAATGACAAGACATTTGGATGACAGCACAATGGCAAGACATTAGGACGACAGCACAACGACAAGACATTTGGATGACAACACAACGACAATACATTTGGATGACAGCACAATGACAAGACATTTGGATGACAGCACAATGACAAGACATTTGGATGACAGCACAATGGCAAGACATTTGGATGACAGCACAATGGCAAGACATTAGGACGACAGCACAATGGCAAGACATTTGGATGACAGCACAATGACAAGACATTTGGATGACAGCACAATGGCAAGACATTAGGACGACAGCACAACGACAAGACATTTGGATGACAACACAACGACAATACATTTGGATGACAGCACAATGACAAGACATTTGGATGACAGCACAATGACAAGACATTTGGATGACAGCACAACGACAATACATTTGGATGACAGCACAATGACAAGACATTTGGATGACAGCACAATGACAAGACATTTAGACGACAGCACAACGACAATACATTTGGATGACAGCACAATGACAAGACATTTGGATGACAGCACAACGACAATACATTTGGACGACAGCACAACGACAAGACATTAGGACGACAGCACAACGACAAGACATTGGGACGACAGCACAACGACAAGACATTTGGATGACAGCACAATGACAAGACATTAGGACGACAGCACAATGACAAGACATTTGGATGACAGCACAATGGCAAGACATTAGGACGACAGCACAATGACAAGACATTTGGATGACAGCACAATGGCAAGACATTCAGACGACAGCACAACGACAAGACATTTGGACGACAGCACAACGACAAGACATTAGGACGACAGCACAACGACAAGACATTAGGACGACAGCACAACGACAAGACATTGGGACGACAGCACAACGACAAGACATTTGGATGACAGCACAATGACAAGACATTAAGACTACGGCACAACGACAAGACATTTGGATGACAACACAATGGCAAGACATTCAGACGACAGCACAACGACAAGACATTTGGATGACAGCACAATGACAAGACATTGGGACGACAGCACAATGACAAGACATTTGGATGACAGCACAATGACAAGACATTGGGACGACAGCACAACGACAAGACATTTGGATGACAACACAATGGCAAGACATTCAGACGACAGCACAACGACAAGACATTTGGATGACAGCACAATGACAAGACATTTGGACGACAGCACAACAACGAGACATTTGGACGACAGTACGACATTTTGGCCCTACACGACGTTAGGTCTGGGGCGACATTACGATAGCACGACATTTTGAGACGATGGTAGGCTTCTATTTATTTCTGTTCAAAACCTGAAAGAAAGCAGCGTGAAGAACCAGGCTGATTGTGAAGAACCCAGTTTGAAGAATAGACACATGACTGCCAAACTGCAATTTATATCAGTGAGAATCAATGTCGTCACATTACAACCATTCGTCCGATGTACACAACCGACCCAGTAAATCAGGGCGGACATTTTGAGGCGATAGACACGTTCGATTGCATCGCACATAACTAGGTCACAATCGTTCTGTGGATCATAACCAGGAAGCAGGATTTCTCCCGGAATCGTACTCCCGTACTCTAATTACCATGATGGAAATTTCCCAAGGCGGAGTTCAATCCAGATTCAAGCGTGGGTCGACGAACTAAAACAATAATCGCTTGTTATTGAAGAGCCTGGCACTGTCGTCTGCTTCTCTTGCCGCTGATTCCCGCGTCTTCTCGCACATGAGTGGCAGATACTGATGCGGCACTCCACTTGTATGAGCAACAGTTCGTTCCTCTCCTGGCGTTTATGTTCTTCAGCAAAATGGCGACGGTGGGTACGGTATTGATTGAGAGGTGCTGTGCCGACAGGAGGAATTCCTAGTCTCAGCAAGACGGGCTCGTGTAGAAGGTGAGTCGGGCCTGCCGTTGTTGTGTAGTGGCGGCTGCCGTTGTTGTGTAGCGACGGCGTGTTTGCAGCAACAGCTGTTACTTCTCGGTGTTGTTATATTGCGCCTGTTGAAACGTTTCATTACAACTGTGAGATGATGCCGAGGTTGATATGATATACACCCTACCGCCTTCATCTCTCGTTCGGAGTTGTGGCATATCTGATGATTTTGTCATAGGGAAACAACATATATCAAATCGAAGTTTAGGTTATAGATTGAATCATTTATTAAAGAACACGGCTCATGTCATGCGACCCGTTTCATTCAAACCCTGGGTTTCCCCGTTATTGCACCACGCCCTATCGCCTACCGATGGCAATATATTCATAGCGTGACGTCATTCCAGTGGGATTGTCCTTAACCAATCAGTACGCGCGGCTAGATCCTGTTGGGTCTTGAACGCTCCTTGCGCTGAACCCTCGTTCCCATATATATCATCACATGTTTTAGATCTGGAGACCAGAAATCATAATGCATTGAGTGATAAAATGTTTCATAGACTATGTTAGTCTAGGCGATGTTGTATCTAGCGGACAAGGCCGCACACAAACAGTATGGATGGGGTGTGTACACGGTATGGGTAGAAGATTCGGTTTAGCTTGTACATGTATTTCGTCAACAAACAATGAATTGTTCCAAGCCGCAAACGTTAAGCTCACAAGGGACATAAGATCAGTTTTCCGAGAGACGAGTGGGTTATTTATTCTATTTAAAAAATCATCCTATGTGGTTATCTGTTACGTGTTCGTCAACAGTAAGATAATCGAGCCTGTGGTTATTACAAGAATCCGCCCTCGTACCAACAATCACCCCTTATGGAGAACATACCCCTCACTTGTGTTGTGTTGGGAAAATTTGTCTCGGGTAGTAGGCCTATCCCGAGTAGTAGGCTTTGTCTACAGTAGTAGGCCTTGTCTACAGTAGTAGGCCTTGATTGGAGTGGTAGGTCCTGTCTAGAGTAGTAGGCCTTGTTTTCAGTAGTAGGCCTTGTCTTCAGTAGAAGGCCTATCCCGAGTAGAAGGCCTTGTCTACGGTAGTAGGCCTTCTCTACGGTAGAAGGCCTTGTCTACAGTATTAGGCCTTGTCCCGAGTAGTAGGCCTTGTCTACAGTAGTAGGCCTTGTCCCGAGTAGTAGGCCTTGTCTACAGTAGTAAGCCTTTTCCCGAGTAGTAGGCTTTGTCTACAGTAGTAGGCTTTGTCTACAGTAGTAGGCATTGTCTACAGTAGTAGGCCTTGTCCTCAGTAGTAGGCCTTGCCTACAGTAGTAGGCCTTTTCCCGAGTAGTAGGCTTTGTCTACAGTAGTAGGCCTTGTCTCGAGAAGTAGACCTTGTCTACAGTAGTAGGCCTTGTCTACAGTAGTAGGCCTTGTCTCGAGTTGTAGGCCTTGTCTACAGTATTAGGCCTTGTCTACAGTAGTGGGCCTTGTCTACAGTAGTATGCCTTGACTACAGTATTAGGCCCTGTCTCGAGTTGTAGGCCTTGTCTACAGTATTAGGCCTTGTCTACAGTAGTGGGCCTTGTCTACAGTAGTAGGCCTTGTCTCGAGTAGTAGGCCTTGTCTACAGTAGTAGGCCTTTTCCCGAGTAGTGGCCTTGTCTACAGTAGTAGGCCTTGTCTACAGTAGTAGGCCTTGTCTACAGTAGTAGGCCTTGTCTACAGTAGTAGGCCTTGTCTACAGTAGTAGGCATTGTCTACAGTAGTAGGCCTTGTCCTCAGTAGTAGGCCTTGTCTACAGTAGTGGGCCTTTTCCCGAGTAGTAGGCCTTGTCTACAGTAGTAGGCCTTGTCTACAGTAGTAGGCCTTGTCTACAGCAGTAGGCTTTGTCTACAGTACTAGGCCTTGTCTACAGTAGTAGGCCTTGTCTACAGCAGTAGGCCTTGTCTACTGTAGGAGGCCTTGTCTACAGTAGTAGGCCTCGTCTACAGCAGTAGGCCTTGTCTACAGTAGTAGGCCCTGTCTACAGCAGTAGGCTTTGTCTACAGTAGTAGGCCTTGTCTACAGTTGTAGGCCTTGTCCCGAGTAGTCGACCTTTTCTACAGTAGTAGGCCTTGTCTACTGTAGGAGGCTTGTCTCGAGTAGTAGGGCTTGTCTCGAGTAGTAGGCTTGTCTACAGTAGTAGAATTAAGAATACTTAGTTCTTATGATTACATCTAGTGTTTGGAGTCAAAGTGTTTTAGCCTCTGCTAGATTCACATTACTTACCTATAGTTGTAGCAAGTGAAACAACATTGTATGGTTGATCGGAACGTGCAGGATGCTATCGGCATGTTCAATTACCAAGTAATGGTATGTTATTGTCTTCGCCGCCACTTTTCATCTGCCTGAGGCAACCCTAAATGTCAGGGCCAAGCAGACATGTCAGGGCCAAGCAGACATGTCAGGGCCAAACAGACATGTCAGGGCCAGGCAGACATGTCAGGGCCAGGCAGACATGTCAGGGCCAAACAGACATGTCAGGGCCAGGCAGACATGTCAGGGCCAGGCAGACATGTCGGGGCCAAGCAGACATGTCGGGGCCAAGCAGACATGTCAGGGCAAAGCAGACATGTCAGGGCCAAGCAGACATGTCGGGGCCAAGCAGACAGGTCAGGGCCAAGCAGACCTATCAGGGTCAGGTAGACATGTCAGGGCCAAGCAGACATGTCAGGGCCAGGCAGACATGTCAGGGCCAAGCAGACATGTCAGGGCCAGGCAGACAGGTCAGGGCCAAGCAGACATGTCAGGGCCAGGCAGACAGGTCAGGGCCAGGCAGACATGTCGGGGCCAAGCAGACATGTCGGGGCCAAGCAGACATGTCGGGGCCAAGCAGACATGTCAGGGCCAAGCAGACATGTCAGGGCCAAGCAGACATTTCAGGGCCAAGCAGACATATCAGGGTCAGGCAGACATATCAGGGTCAGGCAGACAAGTCAGGGCCAAGCAGACATGTCAGGGCCAAGCAGACATGTCAGGGCCAAGCAGACATTTCAGGGCCAAGCAGACATATCAGGGTCAGGCAGACATTTCAGGGTCAGGCAGACAGGTCAGGGCCAAGCAGACATGTCAGGGCCAAGCAGACATATCGGGGCCAAGCAGACGTGTCAGGGCCAAGCAGACATTTCAGGGCCAAGCAGACATATCAGGGTCAGGCAGACATATCAGGGTCAGGCAGACAGGTCAGGGCCAGGCAGACATGTCAGGGCCAAGCAGACATGTCAGGGCCAAGCAGACATTTCAGGGCCAAGCAGACATATCAGGGTCAGGCAGACATATCAGGGTCAGGCAGAGATGTCAGGGCCAGGCAGACATGTCAGGGCCAAGCAGACATGTCAGGGCCAGGCAGACAGGTCAGGGCCAAGCAGACATGTCAGGGCCAGGCAGACAGGTCAGGGCCAAGCAGACATGTCAGGGCCAAGCAGACATGTCGGGGCCAAGCAGACATATCAGGGTCAGGCAGACATATCAGGGTCAGGCAGACAGGTCAGGGCCAAGCAGACATGTCAGGGCCAAGCAGACATGTCAGCGCCAAGCAGACATTTCAGGGCCAAGCAGACATATCAGGGTCAGGCAGACATATCAGGGTCAGGCAGACATGTCAGGGCCAAGCAGACATGTCAGGGCCAAGCAGACATTTCAGGGCCAAGCAGACATATCAGGGTCAGGCAGACATATCAGGGTCAGGCAGACATGTCAGGGCCAAGCAGACATGTCAGGGCCAAGCAGACATTTCAGGGCCATGCAGACATATCAGGGTCAGGCAGACATTTCAGGGTCAGGCAGACATGTCAGGGCCAAGCAGACATGTCAGGGCCAAGCAGACATGTCAGGGCCAAGCAGACATGTCAGGGCCAAGCAGACATGTCAGGGCCAAGCAGACATATCAGGGTCAGGCAGACATATCAGGGTCAGGCAGACATGTCAGGGCCAAGCAGACATGTCAGGGCCAAGCAGACATATCAGGGTCAGGCAGACATATCAGGGTCAGGCAGACAGGTCAGGGCCAAGCAGACATGTCAGGGTCAGGCAGACATATCAGGGTCAGGCAGACAGGTCAGGGCCAAGCAGACATGTCAGGGCCAAGCAGACATGTCAGGGCCAAGCAGACATTTCAGGGCCAAGCAGACATATCAGGGTCAGGCAGACATATCAGGGCCAAGCAGACATGTCAGGGCCAAGCAGACATTTCAGGGCCAAGCAGACATATCAGGGTCAGGCAGACATTTCAGGGTCAGGCAGACAGGTCAGGGCCAAGCAGACATGTCAGGGCCAAGCAGACATGTCAGGGCCAAGCAGATATGTCAGGGCCAAGCAGACATGTCGGGGCCAAGCAGACATATCAGGGTCAGGCAGACATATCAGGGTCAGGCAGACAGGTCAGGGCCAAGCAGACATGTCAGGGCCAAGCAGACATGTCAGGGCCAAGCAGACATTTCAGGGCCAAGCAGACATATCAGGGTCAGGCAGACATATCAGGGTCAGGCAGACAAGTCAGGGCCAAGCAGACATGTCAGGGCCAAGCAGACATGTCAGGGCCAAGCAGACATTTCAGGGCCAAGCAGACATATCAGGGTCAGGCAGACATTTCAGGGTCAGGCAGACAGGTCAGGGCCAAGCAGACATGTCAGGGCCAAGCAGACATATCGGGGCCAAGCAGACGTGTCAGGGCCAAGCAGACATTTCAGGGCCAAGCAGACATATCAGGGTCAGGCAGACATATCAGGGTCAGGCAGACAGGTCAGGGCCAAGCAGACATGTCAGGGCCAAGCAGACATGTCAGGGCCAAGCAGACATTTCAGGGCCAAGCAGACATATCAGGGTCAGGCAGACATATCAGGGTCAGGCAGAGATGTCAGGGCCAGGCAGACATGTCAGGGCCAAGCAGACATGTCAGGGCCAGGCAGACAGGTCAGGGCCAAGCAGACATGTCAGGGCCAGGCAGACAGGTCAGGGCCAAGCAGACATGTCAGGGCCAAGGAGACATGTCGGGGCCAAGCAGACATATCAGGGTCAGGCAGACATATCAGGGTCAGGCAGACAGGTCAGGGCCAAGCAGACATGTCAGGGCCAAGCAGACATGTCAGCGCCAAGCAGACATTTCAGGGCCAAGCAGACATATCAGGGTCAGGCAGACATATCAGGGTCAGGCAGACATGTCAGGGCCAAGCAAACATGTCAGGGCCAAGCAGACATTTCAGGGCCAAGCAGACATATCAGGGTCAGGCAGACATATCAGGGTCAGGCAGACATGTCAGGGCCAAGCAGACATGTCAGGGCCAAGCAGACATTTCAGGGCCATGCAGACATATCAGGGTCAGGCAGACATTTCAGGGTCAGGCAGACATGTCAGGGCCAAGCAGACATGTCAGGGCCAAGCAGACATGTCAGGGCCAAGCAGACATGTCAGGGCCAAGCAGACATGTCAGGGCCAAGCAGACATATCAGGGTCAGGCAGACATATCAGGGTCAGGCAGACATGTCAGGGCCAAGCAGACATGTCAGGGCCAAGCAGACATATCAGGGTCAGGCAGACATATCAGGGTCAGGCAGACAGGTCAGGGCCAAGCAGACATGTCAGGGTCAGGCAGACATATCAGGGTCAGGCAGACAGGTCAGGGCCAAGCAGACATGTCAGGGCCAAGCAGACATGTCAGGGCCAAGCAGACATTTCAGGGCCAAGCAGACATATCAGGGTCAGGCAGACATATCAGGGCCAAGCAGACATGTCAGGGCCAAGCAGACATTTCAGGGCCAAGCAGACATATCAGGGTCAGGCAGACATTTCAGGGTCAGGCAGACAGGTCAGGGCCAAGCAGACATGTCAGGGCCAAGCAGACATGTCAGGGCCAAGCAGATATGTCAGGGCCAAGCAGACATGTCGGGGCCAAGCAGACATATCAGGGTCAGGCAGACATATCAGGGTCAGGCAGACAGGTCAGGGCCAAGCAGACATGTCAGGGCCAAGCAGACATGTCAGGGCCAAGCAGACATTTCAGGGCCAAGCAGACATATCAGGGTCAGGCAGACATATCAGGGCCAAGCAGACATGTCAGGGCCAAGCAGACATTTCAGGGCCAAGCAGACATATCAGGGTCAGGCAGACATTTCAGGGTCAGGCAGACAGGTCAGGGCCAAGCAGACATGTCAGGGCCAAGCAGACATGTCAGGGCCAAGCAGATATGTCAGGGCCAAACAGACATTTCAGGGCCAAGCAGACATATCAGGGTCAGGCAGACATATCAGGGTCAGGCAGACAGGTCAGGGCCAGGCAGACATGTCGGAGCCAAGCAGACATGTCAGGGCCAAGCAGACATTTCGTTGCCTGAGCAACATCCGAAGAGAATGAATTACAGTCAGAAAGGTCACACAATTTACCCACTCAGAACAGAAATAGGATATTGGGGAAACTAACCATGAAGGGTATGGCAAATCAAATCATCTGTTTTGAAAATAAAGGCATCATTTATGGACACCACAAATACTGCCTTAGGGAGTCGAATTTACAGAGATGATCATAATGTTATATAAAATAACAGAGGAATGTCAAAAGAATGCTACTTTAGTCCAGACATCCTACCATGGCCTGTTGTTTGTCGGGTGTAAGTAATTTGCGATGTGTGTTTTTGTTCAGGGCATTTCAACATGATGGACAGCAGGGTCACAGAAGAGATACAGTTAAAACTGGACCTGGTAGCTGCTTCATTAGAACAGTTGGAATTTTTGGCTGAGGTTGACATGCATCCCTGTCTGTATGAAGAAAAAGGCCCAGTGCTTCAGAGAGCTATCTTCAGATATGAGAAATTCTGGCTTCCACTCGTCTGTGAACACCGGGATACCATCCTGACCCCACCCCTGGATATTGGGTGGGCGTGGCACTGCCACATGCTGGCTCCAGTTGCATATCAAGAAGATTGCCTGAACCTCTTTGGCCATGTTCCTGATCACATCCTAGGGAATGCGAGGAAATCACCTATAGAAGTCAAACACATGTGGGAGGTTAAACATGGCAGGGAACCGTTCGAAGTGTCTCTGAGACCTGACCTCATGGCCCAGGATTTTACCTTTAAATCCGCGCTGTCATATGATATTGCAGCTGCAGCATCTCGGCAGAAGTCCTTCTACTATCAAGTCTCACTTCCCCATTTCAAAGACCGCAAGTACCTGCAACATTCATTGCGACGTTATTTGAAGTTCTTGTTCCTGAAGAAGCAGCATCCTGACAATTTCCTGGTTCCTTGTTACGACATTGACATCATGTGGCACAGCCATCAGCTTCGCCCGTCTGTGTACAAGGCCGACACACAACGTCTCCTTGGTCAGCTGTACAACCACAATGACTCCGTCAATGAACGACACGAAGGCTCGCGACTGAACAAGGCTGATCAGTTCACCAGAACGCAATGGAAGAACACTTTTGGTGAAAGTTTCTCCAACTTTGGCTCCATGTATCGTGGGGAACCCCCAACAGGTAAACTGTACGCTATGACGGACTCGGAGATGTTTGGTGTGTGTACTAAGGTAGCAGTGATCAGAGTGGGAAAGGTAGCAGTGAATGTTCCCAACTTTGACGGCAAGATACAATTATCTGCATACACTGCGCCTTATGCTGAAAAAGGTTTGCCATTCTTGTCATTTGAAGGCCAAGACAGAGAATGGAACAAGGATGGTGACACTAAGGTAGTCTTCAACACAATATGCCACAAACAATTGATATTCATTGTCAAGTACGCCAAGCCGACAATCCTCTGTTGCAGCATGACGAAGAAGATAGGAGAGGCTTCCCAAGACACCATTTCAATTGTAGAGCACCTGGGCACAGAAGAGAAGGTCTTCACTGAAACTCTGGACATAATTTCGGCCTCTCACCCTGATAGTAAAGTTTCGCTGGATATGACCTTCACACCTTCTGTACCAGGAAAGGGCATGTTCTTCATCAAGCGAGGTCCATTCTGTTTGAGGACAATGCCTGAGAACATTGAACAAATGTGGGGACCAATACCATTGTCCAAGAAGCCGACAGGATCCAATAACGTCCGAGTAGGAACCCACATGTGAGTATTTTCAATGTATTTAGTTTCATTACCAACTGTGGCTTGGAAAGATGGAGACGTTTCTTCATCTATCTGCTAAAAAAACAGAACTGTTGTGGAGTTTCACATGAAGCATCGAACTAAGATCGCTTTGTTTGACAGGGCCTAAATAAGCAATAATAAATGCATCTGTGGATTATTATTATTTTTCTTAGATCAAACCACCATAGACCCAATGTGCTTGCAGAATAAACGAGAACTGAATTACCCGAATATTTGCGTCCAACTTGACATCCATTACAAGGGGTACTATTTTGGATACCGACTTGTTATCATAATACATACAATGACGCACTATTATACATACGTGTAAGGCCTACTGCCTGCCCTTCATGGGGGGGGGGGGGGGGGGGGGATTGGGGGGATGGGGGACATAACATTGTTCTAGTTACGAATGACCCGTGTACCCTACTGATACATCCAGGTAGTTCTGAAGTCGGCCCGTATAAGCGAGTAGTATTTTATTTTACGTTTACCACTATAGGCAGGTGATACGAGTAATTATCTCCATGCATGTCGAAGCTTTGGGTATAAATATGTTACTAGGATATCAGTCCTGTACGAGCTGTGCACATCCTGTTCCAGAATAAGGAATCACTTGAACGAAGATGTGTTCACAGTTCGGGTGATCCACTGCGTGCAGTACCTCATGTCTGCCATACAGATATTCTACAAGGACAAGATGGCTGCTGTAGCTCACCTGATCGCCTCCGACCAACTCCCCTTCCCGTCACAGGTACGACAGTGTTGAAAGTGCTTTTCCTTGGTGGTTAATTGCATAAATGATTCACTGTTATTTCCAATGGATGGAAGACAGAACTCGGTGATAATTATACAATTATTGCGCTATTTACTTTTGAGACATCAGAGAAGTTTATGAAGTGTAAGGCTAAATGCTGAAAAAAACAAATTGAGTGTACATGATAACAGTAAGTATTAATATCCTCGCAGATAAGCATACGTGTGTGTACATAACTATACAACAACTATGCACAATAACGTTACAGACAGATTCACAATAACGTTACAGACAGATTCACAATAACGTTACAGACAGATTCACAATAACGTTACAGACAGATTCACAATAACGTTACTTATACATTCACAATAACGTTACAGATTCAGATATAGTCCGCTATAAGCTCTTGGGAGATCCTTGATTCACACTGGTCTCACTGCAGTGTAGTCGGATATCAAATTAGCAAATCAAAGATAAACACTCGGATAAGTTGGTGTGTGAGTTTGGTAATCGGTAATAGTTACATTGGTCTAGATTGGAAGCCAGTTCAGTGGTAGGCAGTACGGAATGATGTGTTGAAACGTGTTGAGCTCTACCTTAGACCTGTAGCTCTGTACATACGACAGAACAATTTCCATTATCACGAGACGTTGCTGCGAAGAAGGGAGTCCATTGTACGATTCAGAAATCAGAACTGTTTGTCTGAATGTTTCGCTCACTCGTACCGAGAACCCTCGATCCGACGTCCTACAGTCATCTTCCTTATATCTTCACGCAAATAGGTACCCTAGCTTTCGGAACTAAAGATCGAACTTTAATCAGATTGATTAAATATATACACTCTTAAAAAGAGTAGTGGATACTCGGAAATACCTACTTAAAAGTCGTAGATGTTATCACCACCAACGACCTTGAAGGATGATAGGTGGACGATGAGAAAGTTGACGATTTTGGATTAGTATTGCACTACCGCCACGATTAATCAAATATCCATTTACTCGACAAGGCATATTGCGTGTAGGTCTCCTGGTATCGATGTGAGGGAGTCTCCCACACCCCTCTTACAGCGCCTGGCCATGTTCAGCCAACGTTGTCGACGGTCTAATATGTTGACGTACACGTATCCCCATCACGTCCCGGACGTGTTCAATGCTGAAAGGTATGGTTCATTGCTGGCCATGGCATTCTGTGGATGTTGTGCTGGTGGGGGTGAGCTTTGACGATTCGGGCACCGTCAACACAGAATGTTGCCCAGATGCCATACAGAAAAGACAACAAAGGGTGTCAGTATGTTGCCCCGAGAGTAATGTCCAGTTACCCTTCCTTGCACAATATGGAGTGTGTATATGGATCGCTCAGTTGTAGTGATGCCACCCAACACCAAAACCAATCCACCGCCAAATGTCATGATGTCTCAAGTTGACGTTCATGTCGACGCCGCCAGACGCGACCACTCCGATCAAGTGAGTTCAGTTCAATCGGGACTCATCTGAAATAATCGCTGGTCATGTTTATCCTAGTGTCGGGTTGTGACATCTGTTGGCAATAGGAGGCACGGGTGGCCCAGTCGTCTAAAGCGCCGCGATTCGCTGTGCAGAGTTGCGTCCTTTTGGCACGCCAGAAACCTATGATTGTGGGTTCAAATCCCGGTTCGCCCCGATTGTGTTTCTAGGTTTCTCAGCACCATACCCGTGCTCATAGGTTTCACCGAAGTGGTAAACGTCTGAGACCTGCATCACTTCGGGCTTTCCTCCGACATTAAGCTGACACGCCGCGATATAACTGGAATACCGTTAAAAGCGGCTTTAAACCCAACTCACTCACTCACTGTTGGCAATATGACGATTTGTAATGGGCGGCACAACACGTGGTCATTGAGCAGGGGATGAGCTGTGTGTACTCCAGCAGCCGGATCACAGCTTGCAGCACTTTGAGCCGCCGTTTTTTAGCTCCATTTCGCAGGGCTGGTTTCGGATCAATCAATCCAATACAATTGTCGTTGGCCTGGCAAGCCCTGAACGGGGACAGTCGTCGACATGTTCGGTGTCAAGGATACACATCAGGAGGCACATCCGACTCACGTGTGACGCGGTACTGCGTGAGGCACGTGCAAACAACGATGTGTTTTTGGTGTTAGGTTTTACAGACATAAACGTTCTTGCATAGGATGTTTGTCGTCAATACCCATCTGTGTTCTAATACTTGGTATTAGTATTTATATATCTTGATCCCCTGTCTTTTCATGATTCCAAGAACATATCTTGGGAATGTGCAAGACAACAAACAACACCGTTCCTTAGTGCTGTATGAAGACCTCTTACAAAACTCCATTAAACCCTCCTGTAGTGGTCAAAAGCAGGACGTCATCAATATGTAATGTACTGCTCCAAAACTGATCATCATTCATTCTTAGTGTACTGCTGAGGAAGAAAACGTCATTAATTCGTAATTTACTGCCGAGTTAAAGAACTTCGTTTGATGATTTCCCTATCTTAACCCTGGAGTGCCTGTACATCTGTCGGTAATCTAACGAACATTCGCTGATCATCGACTGGAGAGTACATCTGTCTGTAATCTAACGAACATTCCCTGATTATCGACTGGAGAGTAGTACATTGGAGGAACTCTCTTTGTATTTCATTGACATGCCTATGTTGTGGTTATAAAGGTTGGGAAGAGTGAGAAGTGTGTTTGCCTGAACGCCAAAGACGGAGAAAGGGCTGTCCTGATCAAGAACCACGGAGGAGACTGGGCTATAGTGACGGGGAAATGGACGGGACAAAGGAAGGGTCGGGCCGGGATTCCTGGTGAGTGTGTACTTCCAGGTGCCCAGGCTTGTGTTGAGGTAAAGAGGAGCATGGCTTACGTACGTCCATAAGTTTCCGACATACCGACTACATCATAAGCATGTGTTTAGCTATATAATTTACTTTGTCCTTCTGTTGATGTTTATTTTTACATATTCCTTGACAATCCTAGCTGTGAAGTTATTGTGACGGTTGTAAACACTTGTGTATCGTCACACATGACATATGGCATGGAATGAGCACGCACCTGGTTTTAAAACAATCATTTCCAAGTCATAGTAGTTTCTCCCACCAAAACGAATCATTCGTCACCAATGACAAATTACGTTAAAGTCTGTTAGAACATTCCGACTGCATCATAACCATGTGTTTTTGAATAACGATCTATGAAAGACTATACTAATGGTCATATCCCGTGAAAGGTGAGCGTATCTTGCCCCGCCGGTGGCACCCGTTATAAACACATACAAAGGCAAGTAAAGTATTCACCTGATCAGACACGGGAACATATGGTACACGTCAAAAAAGTGAATTGCATCAAACATCGTTTTGGCCACTGATTCGTCTATAAAAACATCTTATGAACAATTACTACTAAGTATGCATTCTTTATTAAACACAGGCTTGTCGCATTAATGTTTATGATAATATTTTTTTTTGTATTTTCCCTAACTCCAAATGCAAAGCAAGTATCGTCAAATAGCACGTGCCCTATGTCACAGTTGATATCTTTAATCACACCAGGGGGCACGGGTGGCCCAGTCGTCTAAGGCGACGCGATTAGAGTTGCGTCCCTTCGGACGCGCCAGAAACCTATGATTGTGAGTTCGAATCCCGACTCGCCCCGATTATGTTTCTAGGTTTGTCAGCACCATACCCGTGCTCGTGGGGTTCTTTTGGGGTCTGAGACCTGCATTACTTCGGGCTTTCCTCCCACATTAAGCTGACACGCCGCGATATAACTGTAATACTGTTAAAAGCGGCGTTAAACCCAACTCACTCACTCACTTAAACACACCAGCTTTAATCCGACTTTCCGGGCCATATGTGCTCGCCCAGGCAACTCCCTGACAGTGTGCTTGTGTCTGTTGGGTGTCACATACCACTTGGGTTTGTTACTGCCAACTATGGGAGGATTACTGTTTGAGGTAGTTTGGATATCTGGCTCTCGGAGTCGGAGAAGTCGATGGTAATACCGTATTCTACAACTCTACCTTTTCTTGACGGAACATTGAATATAATTAGGTTTATGTGTTAACACATATCAATAAGGTTAACACCAGAAGCATTGGTCCTACTCGTATGCCGTGTACATCTGTGATCTGGTTTTATGTTATTTATAAGTTCACACTTGATCATCAAATTCAAGTAACAAAAATCACATATTCTTTCTTCTAGCGTTAAATTAACGCTACAAACCAGTTTCCATAATCACAAAAAATCTGTGCAAAAAGCAGAGTCGACTGGATGATTCCGACCATATCATGAGGTTGTGTTTGTGAATCACTATCAAAAAGGTGAACGTATCCTGCCCCACCGGTGGAACCCGTCACACACACATGCAATGGCAAGTCAATATTATTCACTTGAAAAAACACACCGGGACATATGGTACAAGTCAAAATTTGGAATTCACAGAGGCATCATTCTATATGTCTACCATAAAACATTTTGAAGGCTTTGCTGTGGCCTTTAATGTTGTAACCTAGATCAAACAACTTTGAGCAAGAGTCGCATGTCGCTCTTTAAAATTCATGGCATAAAGAGCATTCTCGATGGTAACATCTGCATGATCATACGATACAATTACATAAACACCTTTTTATCATATGCATCAACAGCGTCTGTAGAGGTAACAATATTATCGTCATCATATATCTATGGTCTAAGGCACTGTAATTCGCTGTGCAGAGTTGCTTCTCTTTGCGTGCAAGAAACCTTTCTTTGGGGGTTCGAGTCCCTGTTTGCCCCAATTATGTTTCTAGGTTTGTCAGCATCATACCAATGTTCGTGGCTTCCATCCCACAATAAGCTGGAAGACTGTTCAAAATGGCATTAAATCCAACTCACTTACTCATTCAAACTTACTCGGTAGAAAACTTTTAATTGTTGTTTAATGTCACACTCAGCAATAATCCAACAAGATGACAGCGTCGTGTAAATACTCAAATCTGGAACAGGACAAACCAGTGATTGATATTTTGAGCAACGTATTATGCTATCGAAAACACTGAATCGACAGAGTCACTAACTTTGTGGTCCCAATCCATGGGGCTTCACACAAGATATACACATGACAACACCACTTCACCTACTTGGCTATAATACCTCCCCGTTTGTAACGTGATGGCAATACACTATGTGGATGATGAATAACAATGGTTAAGGTCATTTTATGAACTTTGAGTGGAAAATAGCACACATAGCACAGCAGATTAGGTCCGTATGCAGGAAACCTGAATTCTCAGAAATATCGGGAGGAAGTATTGAGACCTGTTGTGCAACCATTCATTTTGCAACAGACCGCATACAGCAAGACTCCCATAGAATATTTCAACAGCAATAACATTCCCGTTTTACCCTGGCCTTCATGTTCTCCTGATGTGAACACCGTCGAACATTCACGAGATCACCTTGACTGATAGATCAGAAGACTACCAGTGACACCAGTCAACCATCAAGAACTCGAACAATGTCTCCGAATGGCAGCGGAATAACCCCAATGTCATCCGTTGTTTGACGTCATTGGTGCGTCGTCGTTTTCAGGCGTGCATGTCTGCACAAGGTGGACATACTCGGTTTTAAGTGGGTTTTGAAGGCTTTCAGAGATTTTAAAGTCATGTTGAACAAGTGTTGTGACTGTGATATTGTGACGATATCACTATGTGTCTTTGTGTTACAGTCGTTAGGTTTTGGTTTGATAACTTGAACAGTTTTACCTATAAATAGTAAACCCGAACTCTAATGAAGTATATACATATTGAATTTCTAAATGCTTTTGTTTTTCTTGCAAACTCTCGGTATACATTCTCTTGGACATTAGTTTATCAGTGTAACTGTACGTAATCGAGCTTGGATTCACTGCTGACCGGAGTTGTACATGCTCAGCGTCAGTATATTACAGGGCATTTAACTTAGAATATGATACAAAGTAGATTACGAATCAGACATTCCATTTTGGCGCAATGAACTTGCATTGCCTTTGCATGCTTTCGTGACGCGTGCAGGATACGCTAACCCTTTCGCGAACACTAACTCATGCTTATGATGTAATTGAAATCGTAAACTGGACCTTTCCTGTGATTATGGAAAGGGTTTTGTCACCTGTATTTACGATCAGTTGTATTTGCTTCAGATAAATATTTACCCGATGAAATTAACTGCTCCCTCTGGCAGTTCACTGGTGTGAACCCTGCCATCATGTGGCCATGCAGCATAGGTGTTCATTTTTGATATCCCCTCAAGAGCCATCTTAAGTTTGTTGTTTGTTTGTTTGTTTGTTGTTTAACGCCGCACTCAGCAATATTCCAGCTATATGACGGCGGTCGCCTCGTACGACAAGCATAGTCACCTTTTTCGGCAAGCTTGGGTTGCTGAAGACCTATTCCACCCCGGATCTTCACGGGTCCCATCTTACGGAGCTTGCACCTATACTAACAGGTCCTCGTTGAGAAAGACAGATTGTTTCTTATGTGTCAGTGTCATTTCTCAAGACGATCTTTGTGTCCCAGTAGCCAACAAAATTCTCCTTGATTTTGTTCCCCGAAATCTCCTTTCCCACCCGATAACATGTGTCGATATCACTGATGCTGATGTTGGGGTGGACTTCTTTCAATATGTCCATCTTCGACATCTTCACCACGAGTCTCACGGCTGAATGTCGATGCTATGTTGTTACTGGTTGTCAGTTCACTTGACCAGCTGCTGCAACATCCTGAGTATCTCCTGCCGTAGTAGTGGGACAATGTCCCTCACAATGTAACTGGCTATTTCGTTCGCAACAAGCATCAAATATTGTTGCAACATATTCTGAAGCTATGGTAGCATTAGAACTTTAGCCAACCTGGTAGTTATCAAACAGTGCTCATGGATAAGAGAAATATTAAATCAAGGAAACTAGATCAGTGTCTCCAAAACTTGCGCTGGGTTCAGGCGACCATCTTGGGATCTTGCGTGGTGTTCAGGGTTGTTTGTCAGCTCCTCTGTTGGGTTCTCTGTTTACAGTTGGCATTTGCCTTCACAAAAGAGGTCCAAGAATTATACAAAATTGTCCTCAGTTATTTGGTTGTAATTTGTAATGATATCAAATCATCGTGCATATACTTGTATTTACAAACATATGTATATACACTGGAGAGCTTGCTTACATGCACGTGCTTCCTGTCACCGTTTCAGATCTTCAGAACATATTGATGAAATTAGAGAACGTTTTGCTTATATTAAATACATGGGTAGAGTAATACAAAAGATAAACGTGTTGACAGTGTTGTACATGGATGGACTGTACTGAGTGTGTCTCCCTACAACCTACACATTCCTCCTCAGGCACATCTTCCAGGAAAGCAGTACCTGGTGTGAAGGGCTCCCCAGGAACACTTGTAGTGAAGATGTTTTCTCTCAAAGAATCAACATGCTTCAGACAGACCCTCAGCTACCACGGCGGTATTTACAAGTTTAAACTGAGCGACATCAGCGTGGACCAAACCCGTGGTACCGTGTTAGTGGACCCCAGCACCAAGAAAATAGCTGAGAACCTTGCTCTGGCATTCAGTGTGTCCTTACTGCACGTTCTGTGTCAGCCACGGCCCGCAAACTGGAAGACTGGGCGTACAACTAAACCAACCAGTGCCAGGGGAGATAAATCAGTCGGGGTAAGTCAAGTGGCGTACCACTAAACACAGAAGTACCAGGGGAAGTAAGTTACTCGGGATAAGCCATTGGGCGTACCATTAAACACAGAAGTAACAAGGGAAGTAGGTCAGTCGGGGAAGTCAATTGGCATACCACAAAACATAGAAGTACCAGGGGAAGTAAGTTACTCGGGATAAGCCAGTGGGCATACCACTAAACACAGAAGTACGAGGGGAAGTAAGTCAGTCAGGATCAGTCAGTGGGCATACAAATAAACACAGAAGTACCAGGGGAAGTAAGTCAGTGGGCATACCACTAAACACAGAAGCGCCAGGGGACGTAAGTCAGTCAAGGGTAAGTCAGTGGGCATACCACTAAACACAGAAGCACCAGGGGAAGTAAGTCAGTCAAGGAACAGTCAGTGGGCATACCACTAAACACAGTGGAATCATAATGAATAAATAGAATATTCATAGTGAACTTCGTGAGGTTATGGGAAGATCATGCCAATGAACAACCTACTTTTTTCCATTCTCAGATCTGCCCGATGTGTAATTTGTCAATAACAAATGACAAATATATTTAAAAAATCAGTAATCTTCATATTATTCAATACTAGTTTGTCTAAGTGTACATGCTGCATGTAGCACATCATCTGGGCGTTATTCTATGCTAGTTCAGTTGTAATTATCTACGTTTTGCTTTGTAATATTTTGCTCTGGAAGACTTTCCAATACATCACCTACATCTTGAATTTCAGTCTATTTCGTCTGAAGACCATGCATTAATTCAAAGTAAACACAATTTATATATAACGACTTCTTTAATTACTGTAAAGGAAACGTTTCGCCTTTACGGTAGTAAAAGAAGTTGATATCCATAAACTGCGTTGTTATCCGTCAACTTCTGAGTAAAGCCTATCAAACTATGCATTAATTCATCTACACCTTGCATTTCAGTATGTACCGTCTGAGGACTTTCCTATAGTTCTTCTACACCTTGCATTTCAGTATGTACCTTCTGAGGACTTTCCTATAGTTCTTCTACACCTTGCATTTCAGTATGTACCGTCTGAGGACTTTCCTATAGTTCATCTACACCTTGCATTTCAGTATGTACCTTCTGAGGACTTTCCTATAGTTCTTCTACACCTTGCATTTCAGTATGTACCTTCTGAGGACTTTCCTATAGTTCTTCTACACCTTGCATTTCAGTATGTACCTTCTGAGGACTTTCCTATAGTTCATCTACACATTGCATTTCAGTATGTACCTTCTGAGGACTTTCCTATAGTTCATCTACACCTTGCATTTCAGTATGTACCTTCTGAGGACTTTCCAATAGTCATGGCCACAGGATACCTAGAGGAAACACCCTCCAACTTCTACATCCGACAGCAGTACGGTCCCACGGTCTGCAGCGGGTGTGGCGGGTGCATGGGGTACACAGGGGGAGACGACCATGGGTTTATGGGGGAGATGCCAGATGCAACCGATGGCGGAGACGTGGGGGCTGCTGGTTTGTGTGGCGGTGATGGCGGTGATGGCGGTGATGGTGGAGGTTGTGGAGGTTGTGGTGGGTGTGGAGGTTGTGGAGGTTGTGGAGGTTGTGGTGGGTGCGGTGGTTGTGGTGGGTGTGGAGGGTAATTTTGGATCTTAGGGGCTTCTGGGAAAAGAAGGTTTCTAGTGTTTGGGATTGCATTGGCGACACAGACAATAGTTTCATTGTCATCGCGTACACGATTTGAGGGAGTTGACAAGCTGTTCATGTTTGCGTACATGTATCGCGTTTAAAAGGACATAAATATATATATATCCATGTTGATTGTAGAATTATATAACCTTCAACTATTCCATTTATGGTTTACGATATATCTAACTGTGTTGTTTGAGAAGGAGATACAAACTATTTAGCCGTGTGTTATATAGACACATCAATCTGTCATCCTTTAACTTTGTATAAACTGCAATAACCCACATGCATATAACCTTGTTACTTCAAATTTCTCTACATCACGTCTCTTGATAACGGTGTTATCTTTCCATTCATTGTAATAATGAAGCTATATGTGCTATGTATACTATGTAACTGTGTGTTGTAAGGAGGACATACCAGCTATGTAGCCATGTGTTACATGGAGGAGATTTAAACTATGTTACCAGGTGTTACATGGAGGAGATCCAAACTATGTAACCGTGTGTTACATGGAGGAGATACAAACTATGTAACCATGTGTTACATGGAGGAGATACAAACTATGTAACCTTGTGTTACATGGAGGAAATACTAACTATGTAAGCATGTGTAACATGGAGGAGATACAAACTATGTAACCATGTGTTACATGGAGGAGATACAAACTATGTAACCGTGTGTTACATGGAGGAGATACTAACTATGTAAGCATGTGTTACTTGGAGGAGATACAAACTATGTAACCTTGTGTTACATGGAGGAAATACTAACTATGTAAGCATGTGTAACATGGAGGAGATACAAACTATGTAACCATGTGTTACATGGAGGAGATACAAACTATGTAACCATGTGTTACATGGAGGAGATACAAACTATGTAAGCATGTGATACATGGAGGAGATACAAACTATGTAACCATGTGTTACATGGAGGAGATACAAACTATGTAACCGTGTGTTACATGGAGGAGATACTAACTATGTAAGCATGTGTAACATGGAGGAGATTTAAACTATGTTACCAGGTGTTACATGGAGGAGATACAAACTATGTAACCGTGTGTTACATGGAGGAGATACTTACTATGTAACCATGTGTTACATGGAGGAGATACTAACTATATAACCGTGTGTTACATGGAGGAGATACAAACTATGTAACCATGTGTTACATGGAGGAGATACTAACTATGTAAGCATGTGTTACATGGAGGAGATACAAACTATGTAACCATGTGTTACATGAAGGAGATTTAAACTATGTTACCAGGTGTTACATGGAGGAGATCCAAACTATGTAACCGTGTGTTACATGGAGGAGATACAAACTATGTAACCATGTGTTACATGGAGGAGATCCAAACTAAGTAACCATGTGTTACATGGAGGAGATACAAACTATGTAACCTTGTGTTACATGGAGGAGATACTAACTAAGTAAGCATGTGTAACATGGAGGAGATACTAACTAAGTAAGCATGTGTAACATGGAGGAGATACAAACTATGTAACCTTGTGTTACATGGAGGAGATACTAACTATGTAAGCATGTGTAACATGGAGGAGATACAAACTATGTAACCATGTGTTACATGGAGGAGATACAAACTATGTAACCGTGTGTTACATGGAGGAGATACTAACTATGTAATCATGTGTTACTTGGAGGAGATACAAACTATGTAACCTTGTGTTACATGGAGGAGATACTAACTATGTAACCGTGTGTTACATCGAGAACATACAACTATGTAACCATGTGTTACATGGAGGAGATACAACTATGTAACCATGTGTTACATGGAGGAGATACTAACTATGTAAGCGTGTGTTACATGGAGGAGATACTTACTATGTAACCGTGTGTTACATGGAGGAGATACTAACTATGTAAGCATATGTTACATGGAGGAGATACTAACTATGTAACCGTGTGTTACATGGAGGAGATACAAAGTATGTAACCCTGTGTTACATGGAGGAGATACTAACTATGTAAGCGTGTGTCACATCGAGGAGAAACAACTATGTAACCATGTGTTACATGGAGGAGATACAACTATGTAACCGTGTGTTACATGGAGGAGATACAAACTTTGTAACTGTGTGATACATGGAGGAGATGCAAACTATGTAACTGTGTGATACATGGAGGAGATACAAACTATGTAACTGTGTGATACATGGAGGAGATGCAAACTATGTAACTGTGTGATACATGGAGGAGATACAAACTATGTAACTGTGTGATACATGGAGGAGATACAAACTATGTAACCATGTGTTACATGGAGGAGATACAAACTATGTAACTGTGTGATACATGGAGGAGATACAAACTATGTAACTGTGTGATACATGGAAGAGATACTAACTATGTAACCGTGTGTTATATGGAGGAGATACAAACTATGTAACCACATGATACATGGAGGAGATACAAACTATGTAACTGTGTGATACATGGAAGAGATACTAACTATGTAACCGTGTGTTACATGGAGGAGATACAAACTATGTAACTGTGTGATACATGGAGGAGATACAAACTATGTAACCATGTGTTACATGGAGGAGATACAAACTATGTAACCATGTGTTACATGGAGGAGATACAAACTATGTAACTGTGTGATACATGGAGGAGATACAAACTATGTAACCATGTGTTACATGGAAGAGATACAAACTATGTAACCATGTGTTACATGGAGGAGATACAAACTATGTAACTGTGTGATACATGGAGGAGATACAAACTATGTAACCATGTGTTACATGGAAGAGATACTAACTATGTAACCGTGTGTTACATGGAGGAGATACAAACTATGTAAGCATGTGTTACATGGAGGAGATACAAACTATGTAACCATGTGTTACATGGAGGAGATACAAACAAATGCACGATAAACGCCTGTCTTTGTATATATTTTTTTTTCAGATTGGTTTTACTGGTATATTTTGAATAATAATTCTTTCTTTTTCAAATGTATAGACATGTATATTGAGAGATGTATCGTCATGACATTCATTTCGTAATAGTACTGTATTTATTGATGTCACTTACTATGTATTCTATAGTGTCTTCAAAACGCATTTTTACAGCTGTATTATCGATGAAGGTGATGCTATGATAAAGGGACCACCATCTGTACCCAAACGTCGCATGGCAAGATTATAGAGGTTGAAATCCAAAACTTCTACCAAGAATTTGACGAATGCTTGATTCTGATTGGTTAAAAAGAGGTTTCATTTTTGCAACAGAAGCCTTTTTTAAGCATTTTAAGTTTTTTTCACACAAAAAAAACGCGTGTATGAATACATCGATATCCTACATATCGATCTATTAATCGAGAGCCGCAAATCTCCCACAACAACTGTATACGTATATTATTCCTCTATAAGTTGTTGTGTCTCCAATACAAGCCAGGTCTCTAATACACTCCGGGTCAACGGCTCTCACGAAATTAAGAGACTGCCGAACGTCTAATAGAGGACATACGGTACGTTTGATATGGGATGTTTATGGCGATTTTGACGTTCTGGGCTGTAACTCTCATTGCTTCGATGCGATTACAAGACTTCATGAACGTTTATCTTTTTCATACAAATGATAACATACGTTTATCGAAACTGTTAGGATAATGTCGTCATTGAAACACACAGTGTTTTAAAAAGCTTTCTTTATGACAACATGTTTACAAACATGTTTGTGATCAATATCCACCAGTACTCTCATCTCCGTCAACCAGTAACGTAAGATTTGGCAGTAGGGGATGTGAACCTCCATCGGAAACACTCCTCTCTTCGAAAGGCCACAAAAACTCAAAGATGTTCCGACATCACCGAAGTCACAGAACAAGCCCTTGATGAACATCTTTTTAAACTTGACGCACGTCACACCAAAACAAGCACAATTAAGCAAAACATACACGAACCACTAGTACTGTCAGGGCCGACACTGTCAGATCCACGAGACCGGGGATGTTTTTGCACCGTGAGAAGCTGAAAGGTTTGAACATGTATTTTGCAGTAAAATCCCGTGTCAAAATGCCGATTTGTCTGCAGCCAAAATACAGCAGTTCAGTCACACTCCATGCAGCGACATTGGCCGTCCCGTTGTACCAGCAGGCTTATCCCCAGTACATCAACAGGGTAATGTTTTACCAGCAGGCTTATCCCCAGTACATCTACAGGGTTATGTTGTACCAGCAGGCTTATCCCCAGTACATCTACAGGGTCATGTTGTACCAGCAGGCTTATCCCCAGTACATCTACAGGGTTATGTTGTACCAGCAGGCTTATCCCCGGTACATCTACAGGGTCATGTTGTACCAGCAGGCTTATCCCCAGTACATCTACAGGGTTATGTTGTACCAGCAGGCTTATCCCCAGTACATCTACAGGGTCATGTTTTACCAGCAGGCTTATCCCCAGTACATCTACAGGGTCATGTTGTACCAGCAGGCTTATCCCCAGTACATCAACAGGGTTATGTTGTACCAGCAGGCTTATCCCCAGTACATCTACAGGGTCATGTTGTACCAGCAGGCTTATCCCCAGTACATCTACAGGGTTATGTTGTACCAGCAGGTTACCCCAGTACATCTACAGGGTCATGTTTTACCAGCAGGCTTATCCCCGGTACATCTACAGGGTCATGTTGTACCAGCAGGCTTATCCCCAGTACATCAACAGGGTTATGTTGTACCAGCAGGCTTATCCCCAGTACATCTACAGGGTAATGTTTTACCAGCAGGCTTATCCCCGGTACATCTACAGGGTCATGCTGTACCAGCAGGCTTATCCCCAGTACATCTACAGGGTCATGTTGTACCAGCAGGCTTATCCCCGGTACATCTACAGGGTTATGTTGTACCAGCAGGCTTATCCCCAGTACATCTACAGGGTCATGTTTTACCAGCAGGCTTATCCCCGGTACATCTACAGGGTCATGTTGTACCAGCAGGCTTATCCCCAGTACATCAACAGGGTTATGTTGTACCAGCAGGCTTATCCCCAGTACATCTACAGGGTCATGTTGTACCAGCAGGCTTATCCCCAGTACATCAACAGGGTTATGTTGTACCAGCAGGCTTATCCCCGGTACATCTACAGGGTCATGTTGTACCAGCAGGCTTATCCCCAGTACATCAACAGGGTTATGTTGTACCAGCAGGCTTATCCCCAGTACATCTACAGGGTCATGTTGTACCAGCAGGCTTATCCCCGGTACATCTACAGGGTCATGTTGTACCAGCAGGCTTATCCCCAGTACATCTACAGGGTCATGTTTTACCAGCAGGCTTATCCCCGGTACATCTACAGGGTAATGTTGTACCAGCAGGCTTATCCCCAGTACATCTGCAGGGTTATGTTGTACCAGCAGGCTTATCCCCAGTACATCTACAGGGTAATGTTTTACCAGCAGGCTTATCCCCAGTACATCTACAGGGTCATGCTGTACCAGCAGGCTTATCCCCAGTACATCTACAGGGTCATGTTGTACCAGCAGGCTTATCCCCAGTACATCTACAGGGTCATGTTGTACCAGCAGGCTTATCCCCAGTACATCTACAGGGTCATGTTGTTCCAGCAGGCTTATTCCGAGTACATCTACAGGGTCATGTTGTACCAACAGGCTTATTCCCAGTACCTCTACAGGGCCATGTTGTACCAGCAGGCTTATCCCCAGTACATCTACAGGGTCATGTTGTACCAGCAGGCTTATCCCCAGTACATCTGCAGGGTAATGTTGAACCAGCAGGCTTATCCCCAGTACATCTACAGGGTCATGTTGTACCAGCAGGCTTATCCCCAGTACATCAACAGGGTTATGTTGTACCAGAAGGCTTATCCCCAGTACATCTACAGGGTAACGTTGAACCAGAAGGCTTATCCCCAGTACATCTGCAGGGTCATGTTGTACCAGCAGGCTTATTCCCAGTACATCTACAGGGTAATGTTGAACCAGCAGGCTTATCCCCAGTACATCTACAGGGTCATGTTGTACCAGCAGGCTTATCCCCAGTACATCTACAGGGTCATGTTGTACCAGCAGGCTTATCCCCAGTACATCTGCAGGGTAATGTTGAACCAGCAGGCTTATCCCCAGTACATCTACAGGGTCATGTTGTACCAGCAGGCTTATCCCCAGTACATCAACAGGGTTATGTTGTACCAGAAGGCTTATCCCCAGTACATCTACAGGGTAACGTTGAACCAGAAGGCTTATCCCCAGTACATCTGCAGGGTCATGTTGAACCAGAAGGCTTATTCCCAGTACATCTGCAGGGTCATGTTGTACCAGCAGGCTTATCCCCAGTACATCTACAGGGTCATGTTGTACCAGCAGGCTTATCCCCAGTACATCTGCAGGGTAATGTTGAACCAGCAGGCTTATCCCCAGTACATCTACAGGGTCATGTTGTACCAGCAGGCTTATCCCCAGTACATCAACAGGGTTATGTTGTACCAGAAGGCTTATCCCCAGTACATCTACAGGGTAACGTTGAACCAGAAGGCTTATCCCCAGTACATCTGCAGGGTCATGTTGTACCAGCAGGCTTATTCCCAGTACATCTACAGGGTAATGTTGAACCACATCATATATCGGGGGTTTCCATCTTGCTTGCGTAACTTGTTAGAGGCATTGGCAGCCATTGACAGTAGTGAGTAAACGTGATGTAGGTCAAGTTGTGCCACA